TTTCCCCCTTTGCATGGCCGCTGTGGCTCTCTGTGGTTTGGAGAAAAGCAAACCCAGTGACGCAAAGTGCCATCTGTGGTGTACGGGGACACACACTACGTGACCCCTAAGAGGGAATTACAAGTCCAAGCTGTTGATATGAACTCACATCAGAGGAAAAGAAGAAAAAAATGGACAAAAACAGGAGAGCCTCAGAGTGACACGTCCTTTTCCTGTTAACTAAGTCGACTCGAACTGATAAGATAAGATACTTTTCTACCCCTGATTTCCATTTAAAGAGCAGAAGGAAATTTTAGACGTTTGAATTCATTAGTGGATTGTTTTAGGGTCTTTTTGCACCTGATAGTCCAGTAGACTTGGATGCAACATTTGTTACATTTTCAGTTGGTGTTGTTCGCTTTCACACTGCACTGTATCAAACAAACCAAGCTCTTTGAAGAACCAGTTCACCCCCTCACCTGTGGGGGCGCTGCACCAAATACAACTAAAGTAAATGACATAAAAACCTCTGAGGACATGAGCGCAACTTCCTTCTTCACAAAATGAAAACTAAAATGTAGTAGGGTAAGATTTTAGCGGTTATAGGATTTTGTTTTTGTTTTTTGTAATAAACCTTGTTTATTTTGTAAACAAATATTTTTCAGAAACAGCTGGGCATAGGAAATATTTTAATCATATTTATCAAATTAAAATCATACTTTCCCAGTTGTTACCCTGCACCAAACTTGTAATTATAGTTTTTTTTAAATTGAAATAAAGGCTAATACATAGGGCTGGGCATTTATAGTATAATTTAAAATGTTTTTTAAAGAAATATCTTACGATAATAATTTGATTTATTTTTGGGATTGTTATTTTTACTACTTTATATAATTAAATGCAGTCAGTATTTGCAGTTTAATGATACAAATCACACTTTTTTAAGTGACTGTCCTAGAGAAACATGATACCAATGGGAATGTTTTTCTAAAGCAGTATTTGTATTTGTGGGAATATAACTGCTGTGACACACAGACACAGCCATACACTTACCTAAAAAAATAGTAATAAAAACTTCTAATCGTCACTTTTATCAGTTTCACAAGATAAATAAATAAATAAATAAAACTTTAAGTCAATATTATCCACCCTTCCTGGTTTTAGATAAAATTAACAAATTGGTCGATACAAAACAATAGATAGAGCACTCATAAAAACATCAGCTGAATATATTTAATTTCAAATAGGGATTTTCAAGAGTCAAAGGAGTTAAAACGTTACATTTATTAGTCGCTTATGAAAGAGAATAGACAAAAAGATGACTAGTCAACTATTTGCTGAGTTTTCCTCTGATTTAAAGGGTAAAGCAACACAAAAAACCTGCTGATGAAAACAGAAATTATCTCCAGAATCTGACAAACAAACCATTCATCTCTAAATCCACAGACAGAATAATCCGAGCTACACACACACACACACACACACACACACACACACACCTTCTCTCTCTCTCTGCCATGTGCTCTGTGGGAACAACACCACGACAATTTGCTTTGCACCAAAGACGACAGCAAAAATAAAAGGCAGACACATCCACCAGCTTCCAGTCTGCCACCCACACAGCAAACACACACACATATAATACCCCCAGTGACACTCACACACACACGCACACACACAGACACACACACATCTCAACTCCTTTGTCTAAGGCAGACAAAGCAAGAGCGGCTATTTTTAAAACTTTCTCTATCCATCTGGCAGCTCCATGTTTTCCTCACTTCTGATCTGATCCGAGTGTAAACACCAGAGATGATGTTTCTAAAGGCAAAACATTAATGTTTTCATGTTGTTAATGCGAACTGATCAATAATTTATCATCAGAGCGGAGTTGAGACGACATGATGCAGCAGCAGTTTGGGTTTTTTTCCCCCTCCTGATGACTCAGTGGAAGCACAGGGAGAATGACAACTCTCCCGCTGGGTCAAATCTCCCCCTCAGGTTTCAGGATTAAATATTCACGCCGTACCGTTGCATAATTTACCTTGTCAACATACCAAGGAAATGACTTGGAGAGGAAAGGAAGACAGGTGAGGTAAACATCATGGATTTCAATAAACGCGACGTTTCGTTGGGGTGTATTCCTCCCGCCCCGTTCTGAATGTTTTCCAGGCGCATCTTTGTTTTAAACTCCCAGGAGGATGCTGCGCTCTGTTTTCCCTCTTCATAATAGTCTTCTCCGTCATGTGATCCCTGCAGAAATTCCAGAGCGGCTACTGAAGCGCCGCGCACATGGCTGCCCTGTCCGACAGATGTTTTTCGTTTGTGCTGCAGCAGCAGCAGCCTCCCCGGATCAGAGGCACGGAGCCAGGGAGGTGATTCATGATGCGAGCCTTCTCCTTGTTAAAAGTCAGCAGACTTGGAGTGTGGCTCCATGTTGAGGATAAACACAGCCCTGACTCTGCGTTCTGGGGAGACTTTCTAAAAATATGATAAAGCAAACTGGAATCAGGAGTTTATACGCCGGCTCCCAACCTTTTCCACGTCTCTGCATGCTACAAACGTATATGTGGGGATTTTAGCTGACAGACCAACACAAATAAGCAGAGCAGATTTGTTTTTCCCAAAAAAAAAAAAAACTCTAAAAAGTGCGGCATGCTTTTATTCCAGCCTCCAGAATCACCTTGCTCACATCTAGAGATTCACATTCTTCTTCGCAACGTCTCTCAAGCTCAGTTAAATTGAATGGAGAGCAACTAACGATTATTTTATTAATCGATTATTGTGTCGATTTATTGGGTGAAGAAAATAGCACATCCTGCAGTTTTTCATTTAACCGCTCAAGCCTCTTTTACACAACATTATAGATACATTGAAGATCCAGATAAACAAATAATTTATTTCCTTATTTGAGTAAGCAAAATAAACATTTTAATGCCCAACATGCAATAAAATAGCATTCCCATAATGTGTGCTTTGATTATTTGTAGCAAAGGATGCATCTGCAGATAAAGAAACACTTCAAACATCAACATATGAAAAGCTCAGTTCTTTCTGTTTTACTTAACATCAACAATATATTGATTAATTTTTGGATTAACTAATTAATTAATGGATAGTAAAAGGTGCTTAGTAAGACATTTTCTTATAGTTTTTTGATCAGGTGAAGCTAAAATTATGCAGCTTCGGGAATTCTGGGAAAAAAATATTTACAGAGAGTTTATTATTATCTTAAATGCATAGTGTATATTTTTATTGTACAGTTTTCAGGTATTACTGTTTGTTACTGTTCTATCAACAATTTGTCTTTTTTTGAGTTAGTTGACTAACTAATTTAGTAGTTAGTAGACTACTAAATTAGATGCCGGTTATTTCAATAATCGATTCATCACGATTAATCGTTTCAGATATAATAAAATGTCAAGTTCAGCCACAGATTCTCAATGGGATTTACGCCTGGACTTTGACTGGACCTTCCTGGAAGAACATCCACCAAGTCACAAGTCTTCTTCCAGAATTTCCTTGCATTTACCTCCACCACTTCCCTTCAACTCTAACCAGCTTCCCCACAACATAATACTACCACCACCGTGTTTTTGCATATACCAAACAGTTGAGTTTTGCTCTCATCTCACCAGAGCATCATTTTCCTGAGAGTCTTGAGACTTTCTTTCAACAATCTTCTTGATAATTTTCTATAAAGACCTGGTTTGTGGAGTGTTTGACAAATCTTTGCTCATGTATCTGCAAAGCGTTCTCTCTTCGACTATTACACTCCGTCAGCTCTGGTTTTCAGTTGTGCCATACTTTCAGATGATTGATTGAAGGGAGCTCTGTGAAATGTTTCAAAGCTTGGAAAATAATTTTATAACCTAACTGCTTTAAACTTCTCCAGAGCTTCATGCGTGATCTGTCTGCTGTGTTTCTTTGTCTTAATTGTGCCATTTGTTCACTAATGTTCAATAATTAACCTCAAAGTTAAACTACACACAGGAAGAGTCCAGTTAGATGTTTTCTAAAAGCTCACTGGATTTTATTTAAGGATACAAAAGTAAAGTGAGCTGAATATATGTGGAAACTGCACTTTTCATATTTTCATTACACCATGTTCCTTCCACTTCCAAATAATGTGCTACTTGTGTGCAAATACATTTAATCTATCATCTCCTTTACGTTTATACTGCCTTTAATTTGTACTTTAAGCACTGCAAATGGAGTTATGGGTGTCACATTTAAAGCTCATGCTCCCTTACATGGGAGATTACACTAAATACTGCAACCCTGATGTAATTTGGGCATGCAGTTATTGGAAGTGGGGGAAATTAGGTCACATTTTGGCATCAGAGGACGATGAAGGTGTGTGCTGCTCTCCTGGTATGATGCTCCATTTAATCACACCAAGCGACCGCTGGGAAAAAAAACACACACATGCAAACACAAACCCCACCTGCCCTGACCTGAATTTATTCGCTTTTTTAAAAACATAAATGAGCCCGTTTTAAAATGCACTCATTCCTGCGTGCATGTATGAAAGAGAGGGATCCACATCTGACTGCCTGTGACTAAAATAGGCCTTTATGTCGCACAAACACACATACACACTCAGCTACAGCCTGGCAGCACACTCCAAAGCCCTGAGTTATGTAATCCTGAACACAGAGAGCTGCAGGCCTTGAGTGAACATCCTTCCATTTCCTTCACTCCTCCAACAAAAGCCATCCTCATCCTCTATTATATTATTACTCCACATCTCTGGTTGGACAGATAAAAGAGATTAAGTAAATCTGACTGAATGCATTTGGAAAAATAGATGTTTTTACAGGTTGGTAGTTGGAAAAATTTAGCTTTAAAGCAACAGGTGCAGTTATTTTCTTCTCTGATTGCCATGCATCTGTCCATGCAAAGCTCTCAAACATGTGGATTGCATGTTAAATGAGCTACGTGGTGTGGATTAATAAAAGCACCATTACTGAGATTGGTGACATCGACATATAAATCACATTTTTTCCATCTTTTCTTACCTCCTCCAGCACATTCACTGTGTTCCTGCAGCTCTGCATGCGGGTGGTGAAGCTGGACGTTGTCGGGGAATTGTAATCCTCTGTTGTCTCCGAGAGAAACTCGGACACCGATATTTGATCCGGCATCCTTTAATTTAACGGTGTGTGTGTGAGAGAGGGTAGGGTGGAGGGGGGATAAATGCCCACAAAAGGGTCGGCGGTGACGGATCAGAAAGGCAAAACCATGTAAGATCTGGAGGGAAAATTATTAAGATACCCGGTGGGGTCTGGATCGGATCGACGGGAAAGCCAGCGCCGCTTATTTTCCTCTGTAGAACTGTGTAAAACTATAAGGGATGATGATCTGGACGTGTCTTCTTCTTCTCCTTCTCAAATGACTTCACTGTCCTCCAAAGGCCACGGGAGGAGGATTTTTAGCACAATTCTCAAGCTAGCTCCCCCCTCGATGAGTGTATATATGAGGACTCAGAGGATGTTTAAAGAGCGACGCATTTCTAAATAGTGTTGTGGCTAAACGTTGGAGGAAAACCCGTAAAGAATAGCGGATGCCTTCATTATGCTCTACAGATGTGCAATAAGCCGCTTGTAGTTAAAAAAAAACACAGCGTCCCGTTATTACCAGCCTCTGTTTGGGGGTTATCATAGTCCAGGGTAAAGCCGAGGTCGTGTGGGTCTGCACCGAGGGTTGGTCCTCCTCTCTTCTTCCGCCGTAGTTTTTGAGTTTTCTTGTTATTTTTCCTCTAAACAGCTAAACGACGCCTCGGACACATTCACTGCCACTCTCTCCTGCTGCTCGGCCGCGTTAAGAGCTGAGAGAGGAGACAGAGTTAAGATAACGGTTGGAGAAAGAGAAGCTTCCGGTCACGAGTTTCAAAATAAAAGCGGTAATAATAGAGATAATCAATCTACACAGCTCAGCTCTATAAGAAATCTGCCCATTTGTTCTCTCTTGGTGAAAACCTCCTGATCCAACTCCTTTAGACTCCATATGCACCCTGCTTTTAACATAAGATCATGATGGAAACATTTATGGTGCACTAGTAGTGAGTCCAAGTTGTGCAACGACGGGGTTATCAAACCTACACGGAGTCTCAGCCCGGCCTCTGGCGCAAACAGTCTGCTCTGTTTGCGCCAGGTTTTTACGAGGTTACTAGTGACATCTACTGGTGGAAAGGGAGAACTCCATCTGCCCACACCTGGAAATTTAAGGCTCACATAATGTCAATTTAAAGATCTTCAGTCCAGCTAAAGGACAAAAGATGAATATTTATTACTTTTTGATTTACTTTAACACAAATTGAACAAATTACATATTTAATTTGTTCAAAATTAAGTAATTTTAACACTTCTAAACAATGATGGGAATCTAAAATAATGGAAATCATTTTTTTTGTCAGTTTATTATGCAAATCGCTAAAATAGATTTAGCGATTTGCATAAAAATCGCTCTGGCTGGGCGATTTTTTTGATCTGGCTGAGACTCGGCCAGAGGCCGGTCGGAGTCTCAGCCCGTCCTCTGGCCTCCAGAGGCCGGTCGGAGTCTCTGCCCGTCCTCTGGCCTCCAGAGGCCGGTCGGAGTCTCAGCCCGTCCTCTGGCCTCCAGAGGCCGGTCGGAGTCTGTCTGAATGGTTCATTTATACTTGTTTTTGTTTGAGGTGCCGCTTATAGGAACCAGCCAGTGGAGGAACCTGGGGCAAACCATCTACTTCAAGTTGTTTTTATTTAATTTTGTCACTTAAATATTCACTTATTGTTTGCTAAGTTAAAGTTAGTTTTGCTTTATTTGTNTTTATTAGTATAGTTTATAGTTTGTTTAAGTTAGTTATTTCATTTAGACATATATTTTCTAATGGATGCACACTTTAGTTAATGTCTGTCTGAATGGTTCATTTATACTTGTTTTTGTTTGAGGTGCCACTTATAGGAACCAGCTGGTGGAGGAACCATCTACAAATTTCTGAAAGACTGAAGAGGGAGACTTCAAGTTTTTTATTTAATTTTGTCACTTAAATATTCACTTATTGTTTGCTAAGTTAAAGTTAGTTTTGCTTTATTTGTTTATAGAATGTTTTAGTTAATTTTGTATTTATTTGTTCTTTTGTTTGGTTAGACATCCCTCCTGTGGTAGATTTGGGTTACTCCACCCCTATTTAAGCAGCCTTTGTTCTTTGTTTAGGGGGTCAGTTTGTTTGTGTTTAGTTAGAGTTCAGTTGACCTCAGTTAATTTGGATCCAAATTTGTTTATCTTTTGATTTATTCTTGCTTTAAATTTTTATGCTTTGTTGATGATTTTTTGAAGAATTAAATTGAAGCCTTTTTCTACTTTGAACATTTTTTGTCCTTGTTTGAGTCCGGTCCCTCACAGTTGGTGTCAGAAGTGGGATCGTCGTTGCTGAGAAGTCTCCAAAATGCCTGGAAGGGGAAAAGGACGAACAAGAGGAGAACCCAGTTCTGAGTATGATGAAAGAGAGGCGGCAGAGGAACATGGAGCGGTTGGTGGATTGTGTGACCTGGATGAGGAGGAAAGTGAACCAACACTGGCAGATCTGGCTAACCTTCTCCGTGCCCATATAGGACATCAGAAGGCCAAAGAGGACTACTGGACCAGAGAAACCTTTAAACAACAAGAGAAATTTGAGGAGCTACAACAACAGTTCAGATTGTTTAAAAGGGAGAGCCAGTCCCAGACCACGCCCTCTGCTCTTCAGTCAACCTCACCAGTGAGGCCTGCACAACCACCAGACCCTGGAGTAGCAGCTTCGCCTCAGCACAGTCAATCAGGTGACCCTCCTGCACAGTCGTCTGTTTCTTATACACCTAAATTGCAAAAATTGAGTGAAGAAGATGATATTGAACATTTTCTCATTACTTTTGAAAGAATAGCCTCTGCTTGCAGGTGGCCAAGGACTGACTGGGCTTTTCATTTAATACCACTGCTAACAGGCAAAGCCAGAAGTGCCTTTGTGCACATGGATGTTGATTTGTCAATGAATTATGATCAAGTTAAACTAGCTGTTTTGCAGAAGTATGACATTAACAGTGAAACCTACAGGTAAAGATTCCGCTCGCTTCAGGTGGAGCTAGAAGAAACTCCAAAAGAGCTCTACGTAAGGCTGAAGGAGCTGTATGTCAAATGGGTGCAACCTAAAGACAAAACAGTCGACCAAATCAATGAAATAATCATTCTTGAATAGTATCTAAGAATGTTGTCACCAGAACTTCAGGTGTGGATAAAAGAACATAATCCAAAGACTGCAAAAGAGGCTGCTGAACTGGCTGATGTGTTTGTGGCTGCAAGGAAGAGGAACTCTTGGGCTGTTCAGAGCTGGAAAAGGGATGGCCGCCATCAATCTCCAGCCCAACCAGTTTCAGCTGTGGGTAAGCTACCTGTTAAAGAGAGATTTGGTTCAAAATTTCAAGGGAAAAAGCCCATTTGTTACTTATGTGGACAAGAGGGTCATACTAAACCAATGTGCCCTCAAAATGCTGTGAAGTTGTCCCAGATGTGTTTTGTGCCTAGGAAAGAGACTCAAAATGCTGGAGCAATGAACCAATTAATGGAGGTTTCTGTGGAGCTCAACGGTCAGGCACTGAAGGCCCTGATTGATACAGGGAGCACACAGACTTTGGTCCAGCGCAAGTATGTCTCACCCCAGTTTGTTTGCACCAGTGAGACAATTTCAATCTGCTGTGTCCATGGTGACAAAATGGAATATCCAACAGCAGATATGTATGTGACTATAAAAGGACAAACTTATCTGCTTAATGTTGGGGTAGTAGATAACTTGCCATTTCCAATAATCCTTGGCAATGACCTGCCAGTGCTTATTGACCTGTTGAAGTCTCCTCAGTGTAATGTGGCTCTAACTCGGGCCCAAGCAAAACAGACTGAGGAAATTGTTTCCAACCTCAGCACTTTACCATTTCACAATGTGGAGTTTTTCACAGAGGAAACTAAGGACAGGAAGTCCAAAAGACAGAGAAGGGAGAAGTTTCAAGGGATGGTTGTGGTTCCTTCTGATGCACCAGATCCTGAGGTACTCAAAGATTTCAAAATCCCTGGTAATATATTAGAGCTGCAGCACCAGGATTCAGGTCTTGTGAGATACTTTAAAGAAGCCAAAGTCAATAAAAATGATTTTGTCATTCAAAATGACCTTCTTTACAGGCAAAATGGGCCAATTCAACAGCTTGTGGTTCCCAAAGCAGTTAGAGAAACTGTTTTGAAACTGGGCCATTCAATTCCCTGGGCTGGCCACCTGGGGAAGCATAAGACCTTAGCCCGCATAAAGCGCTGTTTTTTTTGGCCTGGCTTGTCTAAAGATGTTTTGCAGGAGCTGTCCAGAATGCCAAATGACATCCGCTAGATTCCCCAATAAAGCTCCCCTCCAACCTCTTCCAGTTCTGAGTACACCATTCCAACGATTGGGTATGGACATAGTGGGCCCGGTTGAAAGGAGTAAAGCCGGTAACCGGTTTATGCTGGTGCTTGTGGATTATGCAACTAAATATCCAGAAGTTTTCCCTTTGAAAGTTGTCAAAGCAAAGAATGTTGCATTCTGTTTGGTGCAATTCTTTTCTAGAGCTGGCTTTCCTCAGGAAATACTGACTGACCAGAGCACCAATTTTATGTCCAAGCTGCTCAAATATGTGTATCAGTTGCTGGGAATTAAAGGTCTGAGAACAACACCTTGTCATCCACAAACAGATGGTCTTACCGAGCTGTTTAATCAAACACTTAAACAGATGTTACGAAATTTGTGAGTGAAACCGGCTCTGACTGGGACCAATGGCTTCCATATATCCTGTTTGCATACAGGCCTCCACTGGGTTTTCTCCCTTTGAGCTGTTATTTGGCCATGAAGTGAGGGGACCCCTGACAGTTCTAAAGGAGCTGTGGGAGGGGGGACGAACTAACAAAGAACCTTTAAATGTTGTGTCTTATGTGCTCCAGATGAGGGAGAAGATGACAAACCTGGCTCGGGAGCACATGAAGACTTCTCAGCACAAACAGAAGACCTGGTATGACTCTGCAGCACAGGAGAGGGTTCGAGCCAGGCCAGAAAGTGCTGATTATGCTCCCTTCAGAGGACGGCAAGCTACTGGCCAAGTGGCAAGGACCTTATGAGGTACTGGAGAAAATGGGACCAACAACATATAAAATCTCTGTTCCAGGTAAAAGAAGCTCTACTCGCATTCTCCATGTGAACCTGCTGAAACAATGGGTGTCCCGGGGCCAAGAGAAACCTGCCTCCTTTTACATCCGGAGCGTGGATGATGAAGAATCTGAGGAGCAATATTTGCCTGTTCCAGTTTGGCTCATCTGTCAGAAAAACAACAGTCAGAAGTGAGGACTGTTTGTCCATCGACTGTGTTCCAGGTTATACTGAGGTGATAACTCATGACATTATCTTAAAAGCGGATGTTGTTCCAAGACGACTTAGTTATCGTATACCTGAGAGACTTCTTGACCCATTAAAAAGAGTAGTTGAGTTAATGCTTTCCCTTGGGATCATTGAGGCATCACAGAGCGAGTGGTGCAATCCAATTGTTCTTGTCCCTAAGAAAGATGGAACAATAAGGTTTTGCATTGATTTTCGCTATTTAAATTCAGTCTCAAAATTCGATTCTTATCCAACACCACAAATCGATCTTATTGGGAAGCTAGACAAAGCAAGATATCTCACCACCATTGACCTTTCCAAAGGATATTGGCAGGTACCACTCTCCTCCAGGTCCAAAGAACTGACGGCTTTCAGAACACCATGGGGCCTTTTCCACTTTAGAGTGATGCCGTTTGGACTGCATGGGGCCCCTGCCACAT